AAAGTATCTGAAGCTTCCCCAGCTAGTGGACATGGCTTCACAGGTAGGATCAAAACTCAGTGTTTAAATGCTAACACAGGTGCAGCAGCTCCCCGTGTCTCCTCCCTGCCCGGCTGCTCTTTTAACTCTGACTGAGGGGAAAGATTATCATACATCAGCAATGCAGCGGAGAAAGCTCCACGCGGGCTTCTTTCCAGCCGTGTGTGTAGGTGTGCATGAGTCAAATATTCACGCCCTGTGAATATGGGTTTCGGTTTGTTCTCCATCTGGCTGGCATAATTTATTTAAAATCTACCCTTCCCCTCTCTGTCGCTTCCTGTGCAACAATGTGCGCCTCCTCTCCCCCTCCGACAGCTCTTCACCGCTGCGTGTGCCTCCCCTCGTTGTCCCCCACTTAACTGCCTGTAGCACTTAAACGCTGCTCACCAGAGGCCATTTAAGCTCGCTGGTTCAGTCACCTACTGTGATCTGCTCTTAATTTGCCTCTTCACGCTCACAGGCTCCCTCTCCACTCTGCAGAGTAGTAATTTTTCTTTTCCTTTTTTTGGGGGGGGAATTAAAACTGAAACAGGCTGAAACCCAGAGACGCCTCAGAGGGAGTTTACAACAAGTGTGAGAATGGTGTCGAATGGCTGTGTTCAGGATGTTTATCCAGATGCTGTTGGTGTCATTGTCACAGGTGTAGAGTGCCTTGTTTGAGTTTTGTCTTCGTGTATTCTTGACACCTAAATGCAGCTATGTTTATTTGATCTATAATTGAAAATAAAACGTCCTTTTTTCATGCTCGCACTTTTGCTTTCTGAAGCTGTTAGAATAACACCATTACGTCCTGTCCAATCCAACTTAATCCCAGATTGCAGACGGCATGGCCTTCATTGAGAGGATGAACTACATCCACAGGGACCTGAGAGCTGCCAACATTCTGGTCGCTGATAACCTGGTGTGTAAGATCGCTGACTTCGGCCTGGCTCGGCTCATCGAGGACAACGAGTACACCGCCAGACAAGGTGTGTGACAGGGAGCGGATGCAGTTGGACGCATGTTTGTCTGCACTGACTATAAATAGAGAACATGTTGATACTGGGCCTCTCAGTGCCTGCTCTGATCTATTTAGTTATGACTGCTGCTTAATACAGGACTTGGAGCTTAAATAAATTGAGTTGAACCTGAAAATGTCACAGCAGATTTTGATATTAGCTATAATTAAAAATGCAATTTGCAGGCCTGCTACATGAACCATGATTTTGTTCATTTAGGCTACACATGCTCACATTTTTTTGAGCTGAAGGGTGGTTCAAAGAAATCAGTTAACGTTTCTAATGATGGGAGGATGTGCTGCTTTTTCACAGTTTCTAACAAAAGTTTAAATTATTGATTTACCAACTGAGGAATATTCAGCAGTCTTATTGATGTTTTCTTTGCCCATGCTTGACTCGCCTGGCTGTTTCCTTTTCTTTTTTGCCAGGTGCTAAATTCCCCATCAAGTGGACGGCACCTGAAGCTGCCTTGTATGGACGCTTTACCATTAAATCAGACGTCTGGTCGTTCGGTATCCTGCTGACTGAACTTGTGACCAAGGGCAGAGTACCATATCCAGGTAAAGACAGCACACGCAGATACATGTAATGCACTTTTAATTTTTGCTGTAGATGCTTTTGGCCCCTCCTCCTTTGTTCAGCTGAATGGAGTTCTCGTGATGGTTTGCCCCAGGAGACAGTTTTGCGTCACGATTATTTTCCAGCACGCTATTGTCATCCTCAGTCATCTGGGGCTTTTTCACCCTGTGAATTAGAATAGAAATCCACACATGTGATCTGATATGAGTCATCTCAGGTGTTTAGTGACTTGTCAGTCACTGGCAAAGTACCCTTGCATGTGTGATCCCCCTTCTTATCCCTTTCTTCCACCTCGTTTCTGCCCCCTGCTGTATGAGATCAGTACTGCAGTGTGTGCCTTGAACTGTGTTAAACTGACAGTGATTACAGAGCATGCCATATGGACGACTTAACGATGTCTTGTAGAGGTCCATCTGGCTCCAGTGGCCTTCTTGGTTTCAGTGCAAATCATTCCTCTAATTATTTCACCCCAGAGCTGCAGATTCAGGGGGTTGAACCCACTTATTTGCATTTTTTTAAACCATAAAGTGTCTAACTGTACATGTATGGTCTGCTCTTCTTATTTGAATTCGATGCTAGACAGTGCAGATGTATTTGGATGCAGTTAGACCAAGTGTCTGGACCGTGATGTGTCATTTCTTTTCCATTTTATATCAAGTGTGTGTGTATAGGTATCTACTGTTACCCGAATAGGTAGACATGATGTTAGAGCTGAGGTTTTAACATGCGAGATGTAAATCATTCTACCACCTCAGCAGCCGACATATTGCTGCCACCACATCCTGGTCTCAGCAGCTGCTCGGGGCTTTTCCTCTCCTCTCCGACTGTGAGATAATCTGATCCCCACTCTCCCACAGAGAGATGGAGGGGGGAGGATGCGGCTATGCTGTGACCATGCCGCTGACTCTGTGTCATAACCTCTTTTAGCTGCAGTTGAGCTCCCCACGGAGCTGTTTCTGTGCTGTGTCACAGAGTTCATCACGGTCTTCCTGTCTTGGGAAGAAATCTGTGACACTGGGACGCGGAGCTGGAGCAGTTCTGTTTGTTTTCTTGTTCAGTTTTACGAGTAAACCAGTAAACTGGAGGAAGCTACGCAGACTTCTCTGTGAGAGCGCTGGAGCACCTGTATCGGTTTATTTCTGCTAACAGTCTTATCTCCCTGTATGTGTTTTAAAATTGACTAAAAGTCTTAACAGGAAATAATGAGTGAACTTCCAACTGGGTCATTGAGGTTTTTTTTCCCCCCGTACCACAGTGGTCTGCGTGGGCATTTAATCCTGCTGTCAGCTGTATGACAGCAGCGCTTTCTACAGTCAGGCTGCACACTGAGCTATTTCCTAATCAAAAGTTGTACTAGTTTTCTTGACCAGAAAACTTTGGAAGACTCCTTCTGTTATATGGTTTTTCAAATAACCACAGAGAGAAGTCATATTGATGTGGAAGTCAAACTATATTAGTTGATTTTGTGTGTGTGTGCGTGTGCGTGTGTGCGTGTGCGTGCGTGTGTGTGTGTGTGTGTGTGTGTGTGCGCACCCAGTCTTGGCTGGATATTTTCCAAAAGACACAACTTTCAGATACTATAGAATTTTTATTTATTTATTTAGTAGCTAATAGCTCTAATGCCTGGCAATCTGTTTCTGGCCATTCAACTAAAGAGATGGAGAAGATTAATTTATTTTCTGCCAGTCTGTTTGTAACAAAGTGCCTTAAACATACAATTTAAATGTAACTGCAATCAATTGGTCCAGTATGTGTAGCCTCAACCTTGGTTCATCCCTTGAGCTCGGTGCCTTTTTGTGCTTGAATGCTTCAAAGGCAAAAATAAATGAATACATCCGTACAAGGACTAGAGTGAAAATTAGTGGAAAAGCTGCTAATGTCCAAAGAAAAACTTTGAGAGATCTTCAGAAATTCTGAAGATCTATTTCTCATGACCATAATAAATAAAATAAATTATATAAAAAAACGTCTATTAAACCACCAATTTATGAAATTTTATTCCCATCCATCCTATGTGCACAGCTTCACTCGGCACATAGGTTAGATGGTGCGATAATCTCCCTTTTTGTGTGTCTATAGTGTAAATTTCCACGATTACAATCCCACTGCCTTACTTAGATCAAATAAATGAATAGATGTATGAAGTACCTTTGTAATGCATGTTTGGATAACCTGACTATATAATGGCTGTCCATTTATATTGTATTTCTTGTCCTTTTTTTCCTTTAAGGCATGGTGAATCGAGAGGTACTCGAGCAGGTAGAGCGAGGTTACCGCATGCCCTGCCCACAGGGCTGCCCCGATTCACTGCACGAGATGATGAAGCAGTGCTGGAAGAAGGAGCCAGATGAAAGGCCGACCTTCGAGTACATCCAGTCCTTTTTAGAAGACTACTTCACAGCCACAGAGCCACAGTATCAGCCAGGAGACAACCTCTAGTCGGGAGGATCTGGGACTAACTCTGGCAAACCGCGGTACATCGGCAGAGATCAAAATCCAGGAAAACCAACGTTTCTGCTGAAGCTGCAGAAAATACTTTTTTTTTTTTTACAAACTTTTCCAAACTGACATACCCGATGTAGAGGAAGTAGAGGTTTGTCCCTTGTGTACCTGGGGGGCCAAATATGTGGGGAAATGTCCAAGCGGGTTGAACTCTGAGAACTGTGCATATCACAATAATCCATATAGGCTGGCCACAACACTGTGATCCAAATTTTCAAATGAATGGTTACTCGCGGATGCATTTTTTTAATGAACGCTTTTTTAAATGAGAAGTTCCCCTACCCTTCCTCCAATCCACCACCTTTTTTAAATTAAATTTAACAACAAAAAGTCTTTGATATTCGAGTGAGAGCTTTTATATGTATATGAGTTTGGTATGAATATGTAGGTTGATAAGAACAGACTGCTGACAAATCAAAGGAAAAACAAACGGCGACTCAGTGGGCACAAAAGGAGCAAAGGATTCGAGTATTTCCTTTAATTTGTCAGCCATATGTATGTAGTGGGCGCCCAATTACTGTGTGAGATGTTACGTATGTGCTCTGACTGTAAAGTGTGGAGCATTATGAGGTGGAATAAATGGAGGAGGAGAAACGGTGGTATCGTATGGATGCAAGAATGTACTGAGAGATGACCGCAGATGTACATACAGTATGTATAAAAAGTGTATTTGAGCAGGTGTGACGAGGTGGAAGAAGCAGGAATAACAAGTGTTTTATATGATTCTTTTTTAACAGGGTTGTTTGAATCTCAAAATGAAATTTTCTTTTTTTTGTCATTTAATCTGGGACTTGAAATCATAAAGAGGTATTTTGCTAATTTACAAGTGCAAACAGTTTTTCCTGATTAACGTTTTGTATAAGAAAAGAAAAGATTAGACAGTTCAGCTGTGAAATTTAATTAAGATTGTCTTCATCTTTCTATAAGATTTGCTTCTTGTCTTTCTTTCCCTGTTGTACAGCTCTGATTGCTACAGAAGATTCTTGTAGATTTCTCTTCATTATTGCACACATCTACACAGTCGAATTTTGCAGCGCCGTGACTGACGGTGCAGGAGTCGCCATACGTGGGACTGTGTGCAGATCGACACTGTCCTCATTTCAGATTTTGCTGGAGGGAAAAGCTTTATCCAAAGCTGCAACCTCAATCAAGTATTCTCATAGGTTTGAAATGCAACTACGCAAAGCCGTGCGTGTGGTGATGTTTAATAAAGCATCTCCAGTGGTATTTGCATGTGAGCAGCTCCGCTCTCCTATGATTTTCATAGTTCAGTTCCCGGCGGTACAGATGATATATCACTTCGTGTGCGAGTTAACTAGAAACAGACAGACAAAACAAACACCTGGCACACACTGTGTTCCAGACAGGGCTTTAGTGCTTTTACAGATCAAAATCTAATAACAAATTCTTAGAAATGCTTCCATTCTCTGTCCAGGTGTGTGTGATGAGGAAATTTGGGAGTATGAAAGCTACAAAGATGTGAACTTTTTTTGTTGTTGTTGTAATTCTTTCTGTTCATCACTCAAAGAACATGTGTGATTGTTCTTAAACATAAAGACATGGGGACTTGAACTAGTAGGGACATGAATAATGAAATGAATGAGAAAAGTTACTAATAATGATTTTTGTACAGGAAAAAAAATAAAAGGTTTACTCAAAGGTTACTTTTACTACTTGTGTTCTTGACGAGTTGCAGTGATCTTCTTGAAGAGTCGGACCCAAGACGTCCAGATGTTTTCTTAAACGTGGCTATTTTTAAAAATTCATTTAAATTTATGCTTCTTTTTACTTTACTGAATACTGATGATTTCTGACTTTGATTTGACATTTGTAGATTTCAACAAGATGATGGCTACAATACAAACATGCTCGAGTTGTATTCACTGTTGCACACTGCAGTATTACTCATCTTCAAACCTGTAAAGAAGCAGAGAAAGCAATACCTAAATGATCTCCACCGTCGTAGCAAAACTGATGAATATTGCATCAATATTTCGGAAAGATTCAGCCTTGCTATCTAATGACATTTCTGCCTTTTTCTTTAAAAAAAAAAAAAAAAAAAAAGGACAAGTGATACTGACAAAAGCATGGGTGAAGGGTTCAGTCATTCTGGCTCTCACCTGACCATCTCCTTGTACTTCTCCAGAGCCTCTCGAGCCACATACTGAATGAAGGCTGGGTCCTGCAGCTCCAGCTCGCTGGGAACGGTGAGGGTAAGCGGAGGAGAGTTTAGGATGCTTACCTCCACCTTGGTCTCACGAACAGCCTCATTCTGTTCATTGTGGCTCTCTGGTGCCACCTGGAGAGTGGAAGAAGTCCTTTTACATCAAGCACTCCTTTGCAGTGGCATATACAATAAATATTCCACTTTTACGATCAGATTTAAAATTTTCCTTTTTGCTAAAGCTTAAAGTTCGGGCTGGATCAGATGACTGAACCATTCCTATGTTACACTGCTATAGGTGAGTGCTGCTGGGGAGGGGCTTCCCGTGATGCACCTAGCATTTCTTCTTCACTCGTCTCTTTTCACTCTGTGCATTTATTCTCCACTGCTGTGTTTAATCATTAGCAATTAAACTCTGGCTCTCTTCTATATTTTATCTTTTGTCCTATTTTCCTTCCCTCACCCAACCAGGCATAGCAGATGGTCGCTCCTCCCGGAGTCTGGTTGTGCCAAAGGTCTCTTCCTGTTGAAAGGGAGGTTTTTTTCCCCCATTGTCACCAAGTATTTCTACTATTTTATAAATGTTAGCGATTTAAATTCGGTTTATTGAAGATTTAAGAGTTCCATGACAAAAGCTCTGTGGATATGCCTCCATTTAAATTTCTCTTTAAGAAAACATATATCTGCTGTTTTTATTTCATATTTCATCATAGCTTTGCCACCTCTTCCACCATCCCTCCTCACCTTGGTGATGTGGAAGATATTTTGTGGAGCGCTGCTGTTGCTCACAGCCTGAGCCACCCAGCTGTATACAGCCGACATGTTGCTGAGCCAACTGACTGTTTCATCAGTGTGGTGCTGGACAATAGACAAGATCTCATCAAACTGCTCTTTGGAGATTTCCAGCAGCTGAGAAACGTCATCCAACTCCACGTGCAGTTCCCGAACACTGGGACACTCTGGAGCCAAGAAGAAGATAAAGTTTTAAGTTTCAAAATGTCAGCTCGAATAAACGTCCAGGTTGAGGCTGGTGGTTGCTCACCTGTGAGCAGAGCTCCCTGGCAGTTCTCACACTCGCTCTGTAGCTGCCAGCACTCTGATGTCTGTCTGCGGAGGGCTCTGCACAGCTTCCTGTTCTGCAGGAAGCGAGGAAGACTTTCCCTCTCTACAACAGAATTTTTTATTTTTTTTTAGTTTGCTAACACTTTATGGAGCAGCTAAGAATAATAAAACTCAGTCTGTACAGTTAACTTACAAATAAGAAAATGCACTGAAATTTGTTCAATTACATTTAAAATGATTTCAACTCAGTAGTTCCAAACCATGTGACACTGGGAGCAAGGAATCTGCATATTTTAATTCCAACCAATTCCAGCAGCAGCTCTATAAATTTACAGATGGAACCAGAGAAATCTGCAGCTGTTATCATTTTTTGTATATTTTTAACCACACTGCACACGTGAGGCAAACTGCTCGGCTTAATCATTACCTTTCTTCTTCTCCTCCTCCACTGTCTTGTGGATATCATCAAACACCTGGGTCACCACAGCTCCAAACTCATCCACCACACTTTTAGCAAAGTCAAAGAAGGATTCCAGTACTTCCTCTAGTCCCACACCCTGCAGGAAGCCCGAGTCCCGGGCAGGGTCGTAGGGATCAGAGGTGGTTTCTTCCATCAGGATATCGGTGTTGTTCAGAAAGGCTCTCTGAAGAGCTTTGTCAAGCCTGCTGCTCAGCTTAGAGACCAGGGTGACGCTACGGTTCACCAGCATTCCCACTTTATTGACCAGTCGGTTGAAGGAGTCTTCCATCTGGACGATCTCTGTGTCTGTGTTGTTATCCTGGTTTACCAGAATGTCCCCTGCTTCCAAGTTGGTCTCACGGGGACCAAAGCGCTGGGAAACTCTTTTAAAAAAGTTTTCTACCTACAAAACAGAAGTGATGGAAATTGATGCATTTCACAGAATAGAATAGAACAACTGTGATTTCAGGATTGGGAGATAATTCAAAAACATCCCGTTTTAGCTGAATTTAGCATCTACTACTCAAACATCAGGATTTATTTTGAGGTATTGTTTTATTGTTAACATACAAAACAAAAACGCTATCATAACAAATACACAATGAAAAAAAAATTAATTAATGATAATAAATTAATAAAATAATATTTCAGTTTTTGTCTCAGTATGTATCTATTTTTAAAATGGATTTGCACTCAATTTTTATGACTCCCATTACTGACTAATTTATTCAAGCGACTTCAGTCAAAGTTATTCAATGCATTGTTATGAAAATACAACAGTCTGTCAGTGGGAGAAGATTGCGCCAACTGTACAACTGTCATTTTTCAACTGAGAACATGTAACTTTATTTCTAGCAGCATTATTTGAAGGGCATGAAAGTCTGCATACCTTAGTATGGAAAGAAACAAAGCCCCTGCGGCAGGTGGAGGTATAGAAGTTTTTACATGCATCCTCCAGACAGGGTCTGCAGTCCTCCCACTCAGTCTGCAGGGAGTCTTTGCACTGCTCCTCTGCCTCTTTTAGCTTCTCAGTCACCTCCTTGGCTAGTTCTGCTGCCCCCTGGTGGTCAAAATAGGATTCTTTAATATATTTTCATCATCGACTTGAATCTTTTATTTTCTTTTGCAGGAAATCAAACGTGGATCCAACCTTCTTCTTTTCGCTGCTGTTTCTCAAAGACCTCATCAGGTGTTCATGCTTCTGCTCGTTCCTCCACATCACCTCCTTCATCTGCTTCACCCCATACAAAGCTCTCCTTACCTCCTCATCCACAAGCTTCTCACCACCCAGTGACAACTCTGAGAAAACAAAAGGAAACTGAGTGCATTTTAGTCTACACATGAACACACTATTAAACCCTAAAAGTTTAATATTAAGAACAAGAAACACATTTCCTTCAAAGTCACAAATATTTCTGAACAAAAGAATAATTAGATGAACCAAATCCACTTGGAAGTGTCTGTTCTGCAAACTCACGTTTTAAAGTGTCCTCTGAGATGCCTTCACCTTGATCCGTAGGTACAGAATCGAGGAGACCCAGCGTCACCAACAAAAGTGTTAAACCCAGCAGGAAGTTCATTTTGGAGCTCTGTCACAGCGTCTAATAAAAAGTCTGACAGGATATACCAAGTGTGATTTAGGGGTTACGTATGAAACCGACTCACATTTAGACACTGAGATTTAAACACAATTAGAGCCTATCTGTGCATAAACTTTAAGATGGTTATCAAAGAGATCGTTTTGCAAAGATGAGTAAGCAAATCATGGCATCATGGTGACCTCTCTTTTAAGGTCACTAGATTAATATGCAAATAATGCTACACATAGTTACTTCAAATGTCAGTTTTGAGACTGACAAGAACTTTTTGAGTACAGCTAAATCTTTTTTTTTTTAATGTACATTACAATTACAAGTTATAATACTTTAAATTGATGACAACTTTAATACATATAGCATGTTCATGAGTATTTTAAAACCTTTTAAACTTGATATTTATCCCTAAACATTTAAACATTCCATTGTTTTAATAGTCAATGAAATGAATGCCACATGTGAACTATATGCACAAAAATAAAAAATACTCAAAATAACAATTACTCAAAATTATGTCAAGTATATTAAGATGGTGAACACCTGCACTTTGCACTTGGCTTTACTGCACTACAAACTTCTAAAAAGGACGATGAAAATAACATGAATATATAAAGAATATACTTATTTCCCTTTAAATGTAACTACTCCCCAGAGAGTGAGCTGCCGAGGCGGAGGTTTGTGCTCTCTGGAGTTTTTTTCTTAGGCTTTCTTTTCTTTGCTTTCAAATCTAACAATTTGACTTATTTGTGCTTGCATACACAAATCCATCTTTATCCATTTTCAAGAAAACAATAAGTGCTATCTAGTCAGCCACAAAGGCGACAGGATTTAAGGGTGAGCGTGAGCCTGATTTAACGTGGTCATATAGAAGTCTGCCACTTGGTGGCGCTACACAGCCACTAGGCGCTGAAAAATCCGGATGATCTTATATCGTCGTGTTGGTGTTGTTCCTGGAACAACATTGCAAGTGACCAATCACATTCTTCTGACGTTATTCTTTGGCGCACCAAGCCATTCGTGCATTTATGAAATTCCAATGTTGCAAGGACAATATCAATTCTGCTTAGCGTTTATTAAAGGGTTGGGGTTAGGGTCAGGGTCAGATCGTGCGAAAAACCCCACCTCTCTCATACTTACTTCTCAGTTACCATATTTGTTTACATTTCACCAATAGTTTCCTGCACAGAATAGTGATCACTATACTTTACTGCATTTAAACAAATTTAACTTATATTGTTTAGAGCAATGGTGTAGCCTGTTATGACTCTATGAGGAGGCTTTGCCCTTTTTCTTTTCTTATCTTTTTATTCATTTGGCTGACTGAGTTTAGTTTTTACTTTAAGCAGCACCAGTGTGAGGTCAGCAGCAGGGTTAGGGTTAGGGTCAACAAGCAAAAGGCACTGTAGGGTCAAATTCAGCTCAAAAATCTTGCAAACTGTGTTACCGACAGGGACATCTGCTGTGTCAGGAGGTTAAGCTCCATAAAATCACAAGGATACACAAAAGAGGAAACTTTAAAAATACACTTTTGAATTGTTTTGAGTTGGGTTGCCAGTTTGGTAACAATTAAATCATCTGCCTGAATTTTCTAGAGCCTGTGCTTCAATTATAAGCCTCGTGAGTTACACAATTTGGCATGCAGCAGGGATTTACAGTAAACAGGGATGAACTTTTTAGGGATGTGCTAAAAACAGCTTCTCTATTCTATTTTACTGTTTCCAGTTTTTATTAAAATATGTTTATACTGATTCAACTATAACCCAATAACAGACTCCTGTCTTTTCCTTGGCGTATCTCACTTTTTGCCCTTTGCCAGCTGACATCCAGGATGAGTGGGTAAAAAAAAGGGGGAAGAATGGTGTAATGTTTTTTAACATGATTTCATTATTTATGGTTATGGTTAGGAATTTAGGTTAATTTTTAAATACAGCTGCTGAATATTTGAATTTTATTTATGGCAATAATTAAAGTATCTATCTATCTACAACTGTTGCTGTGCCATCACAGCTCAGGGAAAATTTCCGACTTCACTTAGAAAAAGCGTTAATGATAAAAGTTAGCTGAAGAAGTGTTGATTAACTAAAAGACAAACATAATAACAACAGAGCGATTACATGAGGCACAACTCACCAGCAGCAGACTGAAGGTGCTTCTCTGTCGACCGAAATAAACAAAGTGCTCGGTGTGGACAGATCTCGTCAGGATATCTTGACCTGACGAGATCTATTGGTAATCTTTCCACTTCAGCTTTATCCTATTACTGTCTTTGCTTGAGGTTGATGCCCGTTAATCCGGCAGTCGTCACACTGACTGAGTGGTTTGTTTTGAACAAGAGACTGCTTAGTCACATCAAACGTACTGTTGACAACCAGAAAAATGTATTTATTTCAAATGTTGTAATGGGGTATCGGCACATGTCAGACAAGACTAACCATCAGAGGCCAGAAGTCTTGTATGTGCACATTAGAGGCTGAAAGGTTTGA